TTATAGATGGCAGATAGTTGGTGTCGTAAGCCACCGCCTCTATTCAAAGATGCTCATTCACAGTGGACATAAATGGCTTCTTTTACTCGTCTTTCAAACCATGTGTACATTGGCATCCTCAAAGGAGTGACCTTTGTCCTTTAGATGCAGATGGACTGCCAGTTGGCTGTTTCATGTCATGCCATGTGTTATATTTTGCTATTTTTTCATTCCTGTCTCTTATGTATACATTTGCATATCTAAAGGTACATCAACATATGCCTGCAACCCCCCACAAAAAAAACAAAACAAAAACACATCCAAGCTTCACCTGTACATTTAATCACATAAACCCCCCCAGTAGCTTAAATAAACCATCCACCTATTAACTGTTTACTTAAATGCTGTGCCAAAAAACAAACAAAAAGATAGATATAGATTGGTAGCTACCTATATACATCTATATCTATATAAATATAGATATCTATAGACCATAGATATATAGTTATATAGATAGATATAAAAATCACATATACGTCACATCATGTTGTTGATACTGGCAAGAAAAGATGGTCAACCAGTTTTACAAGCTGTGTCTCTGTTCAGCATCTGATGTCATCGTATCGGCATTGTGCAGGTATAAAAGCTGCAGACCGTCAGAGATTAAACAACAAACAGCTGGAGTTGGTGAGCATCGGCACAACTGAAGACAACTCAGGACGATTAAACTGTAAGTTTTCAAATCTAGAATATCTGACTAAACTTTAGAGTCAGGGAAAGATTTACTGAAGACTTTAATTTGTTACAATATAGAAAATAAAATATGACAAATTAGTTCATGACCATCTTTTCTGTCAAGCCAATGTGGTTTTTCCTGAAAAAAGAAAAACAAAAGTGTTTTGCTTTAAAGCAAAACTATGGAAGTGATTTGTTTTTATTTAAAAATTACATTATTATAGAAAGAGCTATATAATGATTACAGTAATTAAAAAAAAACAAAACGTTTATGCTGTTCTAAATTAAAGATTATGTTATTGCATTATGAATTAGAAACATATAGAAAAAAGACACTTCTGTCATTTAGAAAATTAAACTAATAACATAATAACTGAATGTATTTGGTTTAGATTTTTATCAAGTGAGTTTTTATTGTATTTATTTCACTTTTCATACTTGATTTACTTTATTGAGCTATTGTTATATTATACTTTATTTATTTAAACTATTTCATTATAGATTATATTTAATGCTATTTCCAAATTTTTGGGAAACACAAATGTGAATTTAAAATTAAACAATAATCAATCATTTTATTTTTGAAGGTTCAAGGACTTTTCCACAATGATTCTCAAGATCTGTTTCATTCTGCTTCTGCTTGTCGGTAAGTGTTAGCAAATAACAACAAATTATATTATAAGCAGTCGAAGAATTTGTAGCAATGAGTTTGAAGTTAATCCATCAATTTCAATGTCAGCCATTTCACAGATAACAGAAGGGAATTCAACCATCACACCCACCACACCCACCACACCCCCAACCACAGCAAAAACCACAGCAAACAGCACAGCAGTCATTAACAAAATCAGCCTGACTTCTGTCACAATGGCCGTCGTAGCTGCTGTGCTTCCATAACATAGTTACAGTTGTAACTATGTTGTTACAACTAGCTTTTTTAACCATGCATTTGTCTGTGTATTTTTCATATCCTATCAAAGTGGGGAAGTTTCAATAAGGGGAGGGATGATAAATAAAAAGGGATCTAAACTGTCTTTTGAACTCATGTAAATTATCCATTTTACTGTATGCTTTCACAAGATTGTGACTTTCTTTGTGGCAAAGGTCAACAAATAAAATGTTTACCAATCAGAGGAAATTGATTCAATCACACATATTAAGATTTATTGTGCTGACCATCTATTGTGAAAATAGCTGTACCTAACCTGATTTATGGGAGAATATGTTAACTTCCTAACCAATAAATGACAATAATCACTTAAGTTTTGCTCTATTTTGTGTAATTCTGTCTGTTAACCAGCCTTTTTATTTATTCAGCATCTTTGCACTCTGCCACTTTGCACAATAAATATGACTGTGGCTGATGTATCTGTCATGTTATCAACTTTATTATGGACACTGAGAGCAAAGAAAAAGCCCACGGTTAATTCCTTGTACTTGGTCAATAAAGCTGAACCTGATTCTATTAAACAGGTCTCACGTCTTTGCATTAAATTGGATTGAGCATATTAAGGCGGTTTGTCGGGAGTTCCTAACCCACTCCGAAGCATTTCAAGAAGCTTTTGCTCTGTTATTTTGACAGATCATCTAAATGAACTTTGAACTGGGACATGGGAAAGTACATGGACTTTCTCACCAGAGAAATCAGATAATAAAATGGTTAGAAATTGCTGACTTTGCCCCCAAATTTTTTTTTTTGTGGTCCATCCATGTTTGGTCTTGCAAAATTCTCCCATTTATTTCCAATTTTTTCAGTGCCATTTTTCTAATATCCAACGTTTACACGAAAAAGGATTTTTGCTTTAAATGTTTTAAATGTTATGAAGCATTTTATGTTTGTACTTTATAGTGCTCGTAGAAAAATGGCGCCTGATTGCCTATCACTACAGGACTTTCCCCAAGCCATATCTGATCTGATTTACTGGGGAAAAGTGCACCAGCAAAATAATCCTGAAAGGCGATACTAGCAGCATCTATGATTTTCCTCACAGATGCTGGAGGATTTCCTCAGTTACCTGACACATGGGGAATGCACAAAAAACTTCAGTCAACCATCCAAATGAAAAAGAAAAAAGCAGTTATAGAAAAAAAAAGAGAGTAGCAGATTAATACTGAACTGGTGTTTACTTAGTCCAGAGCGCTACAAAACACACCAGTAATAAAACCTGGCTACTTATTAAGATTGAGATTTAAAGGATTATATCTGGTTGATGATTATTTTTCCAACTAAAGGAAAAAAACATGTGCCAAAGTTTTCTTGTCAATTCTTAGGTCACAGAAATTCAAACTCCAAAGAAATCACTAGGAGCACAAATTATTTGCACCTCTTTCACCAAGTGAGAGCCAACAACTTCCAGGAACGACCGCCAACCAGTTAAGGAACACACATTTCTCCCTAGCAACCTAGCTGTATCACATCCAATATGGCAGACAACTAATGTCCACATATTGCTTCATGCACAATACTCGAGTGGCATTGCTCTTTGAAGAATAATAAAACAAACAATGTAAACCACTCACTTGATTCCTGGGACATCACACGTGTTGGGCTTTGATGAATCATCCTGAGAAGAAAATGCAATCATGAGACAAGTCTTGCGTCACCAGTGTACACTCTGCAGCCCTTCCCTGTCCCATTGGTACCTTCTTGTCATCCCACAACTGTTCCTGCACATCCTTGTCTGCACTTGTCTCCGAGTTCTCCGTTCCAGGCACTGTTAGCAGCAGTACTAATTAGTGAAACAGCAAGACACAGTTGCTTGCCATGACAAAAATACATAACAAACCAAAAAAATGAGTCATCAATATCGGAGCCAGTCATGCAGAATATAGTGCTGTGCACCAGATTCTAGAGTCTAAAAATAGAAGGTGACCACTAGACAGACTGAAAGGATGCCAGCTAATCTTGGCTTCGCTTTATCAGAGCTTCACACATAAAAAGACATAATCAATGCATAATCAGTTAATTATTGATTTTCCTCTCTAGATCCTCCTGAATCAGCCTCATTCAGAGATGCTACTCCTCCACATCCAGCCGAGGGCTGAACCAGAATGCAGAAACTTTGCTAGAGATCCATTTACTTTATAAATATTTCACCAAGAACTACTACTGTGTGACACCAGCCCCTTTATGTCTTTTGAGGTTTCCTGCCTGCATTAGTACATTCCACATTAATAAATAAAAGCAGCTCTGTGTCTTTGTAATGGGATCTTCCTCTACCTCGTTTGGGCTGCAGCTCCTGTGATCCCCCGGCAAAGACCTCCTGGGGCTTTGGATTCATGGCGCTCTGGTGTAAGGCAGAGTCTGAATTTGTCCTGTACGTGAGAGACAGATGAAATTCAAGCAAAACCAATGCCAGCTCATGAATACTGGCAGAATTCAAGCTCTGCAGTATCAAATCTATCAGAAATCTGTTCTAGACCTTCTGGTTTACTTTAGAAGTTGTGCATCAACTAGGCTGCACCGAGTCATGTCATTTAATCTTTGGAAGAGCACTTTATCTGGCTGTGTGTCCTAGTTCTTATTTTGGCAAATGGACAAAAGGAGGTGCCTTACCTTCTCCAGCTAGTGTCTGGCGGTGGGGAGAGGTAAACTGAGCTGTAAGGACAGCTGTCAATGTGAATTTAGTCAAGGGAAATAAATTTGTTTTCTTACCCTAATCAACCCAAAAGACCTGCTAAATAATAAATAACCACACACAAGCTTTACTTTAATACATTTCCTTTGATATCTTGTTATCTAATAGACAAATATATTGATGGTCTTGTCAACTGTCTACAACGCATTGTATTACATAGTTCAATATCAGGCTGTCAGCACATGCAGCATAACAAACACTCTTAAAATCCACTCAGCACCATTACTGACAGATGATATCTTAACACATCTCATATGATGAATAGTAATTGCGTTTCCTTAAACAGCGATCATTGTTAACCAGTCTGGTAGCAATCTCTGGTCCATATGACAATATAAAAACACAGATGACCAAATAACCTTAACCCCTATTTAACCACTTTCCAGGCTAACTACAAGCAACCACTGCTCCTGGAGGTTTCTGGTGTGGGGCCCTCTTTCCCATCCATTTTATCTGGTCATTGCAACCTCCAGGAACCAACGCCCAACTAGTTGGGAAATACACATCCCAAATACGCCTCAGTTGCACAGAGGCCTTACTTACATTCAAAACTATTCATCCCACAAAGTTTAGCCCCTATCTCAAGTCTGCATATTGGCATTTTGGCCTCTCGACAAGTAAGAGGACATTTCCCAACATCAGTGGCTGATGTCTATCTGTTGTGTTTCTGTTTATCATCAATGGCACTGGCTAAATGTTTAGGAATAACATGACGACAAGCTAAAAGACTTTAAAATAGTCCTGATAGTGTCAGCAATGAAGACTGTCATTAGAACAAAATGCTATTGTTTCAGAATTTCAGTCATTCATTCTTCTATATCTCTATCTTCATGTATATATTAGGGGTGCAACGATACTCGTATCGATATTGAACCGTTCGATACAGTGCTTTCGGTTCGGTACGCATATGTATCAAACAATACAAAATTTTTTAATTTATTTTATCTGATGATGCTGTCTGTGTTGAGCGCTCAGTGGATCTGCGTTCGACTACTCCGCCTAGGCTGCACTGTCGAGTGCAGATCCACTGAGCGCAGCACAAGCTAGCAAGACAGAAGCTAAGCTCGTTGCAACATGGCAACTGCCTCAACGCTAGCCGAAATTGAACCTCCCCCACCCTCATTCAGATCTGGCGTTTGGAACTATCTTGGTTTTCATGTGAAGTATGACCCTGATGGTAAGCGCGTCATGGACAAAAGTAAAACAGTATGTCGGATGTGCCACGCAATGCTCAATTGGTGGGAACTAGTGCGTTAGCGCAGTTAGCTTGTTAACGTGTTGACGCCGTCCAGCCCCACGCATTGGAGCGATCCGCGGTAACTCGTTAACGGAGATTTGGGACGTTATGGCGTTAATGTCATTTTAACGAGATTAACGCTGACAGCACTAGTGGGAACACAACGAATATGACTGCACATTTATGCCGACATCATCCTAGTGCAAAGACAAGTGGAAGCAGTATCGAATATCGTATTGTATGGAAAAAATATCGAACCGTGACACCAAAGTATCGAACCGAACCGAACCGTGAATTTTGTGTATCGTTACACCCCTAGTGTGTGTGTGTGTGTGTGTATATATATATATATATATATATAATCACACAAATACATGAAAACTAATGAAAGCTGATCAATTAAACAGCTAAAAGCTTAAATTTAAAGCAGCCTGCTACGCTGAAGTGGCTTGTCTCCAGACACAAATCAGAATTTTGACTTAAAATGAGACTAAAACAATAACACATTCCTCATCACAGTACGCTTGAAACAAAAGGATATCTGGCGTCCATGTTTGTCGACTGTCAGCGGCCGGCGGTGAGGCGAAGTGATGCGGTTTCTGTCACGGTAAACACGGTCCACCAGCCCATGGTGCCTGGTTGTCCGACTGGTATCCAGCACCGAGTTCTGGAGGTGGACACATCAGGTGAATGAGGCCCCGCCCACAAAAAAAACAAAACAAAAATTGCTTACACTATAAAACTGTGTCTTAGGATAATGTCTGAGGATAAATGGTGCACATGTGTTTGTTTCAAAATGAGTCAAGCCATGGGCCCCCCATACTGATGCTTGAGTTGGCAAATGTATTAAAAATGGAAAGCCATGACAAGCAATGGTCTATTTAAAATTTAGGAATCAAATTACGCATCAGGGTGAAAAAAACCCAAACAAAACAAAAAGAAACAAAAAAAACCCCAAACAGCTGTAGTGCACGTCATCTCCTTCACTCTTGGACCCTGATAAAACCTGATGCTTTATGCAGCTTTGACGACAAGGTAATGTCTAAACACTTTACTGTCAGCACAGCCATAAATAAGCCTGCAGACTTTCTTTAATGGCTTTAGAGGAATTTTCTGGGTTCTTTCACCAACACCACAGACACCTGCAACCTTTGTATGTCCAATAGTATCACCAACAGCTGAGAAGGGCACACTGGTCTACAACAAACCATTGATTTACCAGCCGAGAGAGGCCAGGGGCTCACCTGAAAAGGCAGGTCAATGTTGCCATTTCCAATCTGATTGACATTGGGCAGTGAGCCTCCATAGTACTGTCCACGATTCTGCCCTAGTTGCAAATACTGGGTCTTCTGTAACTGCAACTGTGCAAAGTAAAATTGCATGAAAGCATGAGTGAATGACTGATCCGATACACAAAAAAGAGATGCTAAAAACAAATGGTGCATGCCAGACCACAGTGTGGGATATGAAAGACTGATGAATTCATTAACTGACAGATGAAACGTGATGAGCCAGGCAGATGTGGCGGTACCACGAATAATCGGGAGGCATAGAACATATTTTAATAGCAAATAAAAAGAAAAGAAAAATCACATCAGCTGACGTGAATGACACCTGACTGACAGCTGGTGTAATTACAGTCAGACTTTCCATGTAACACACCTGGCTACTACATTTACCACACAACAGTAGTCAAAACAAAAGTCATATATGTTATTAAAAAACAAAAAAACACGGTGATGGAAGGCCTCGAATATGAAATGAAATGCATGAGGATAAATGATCAGAACTGATGCCATGGATGGATGTTTGGATGGCAACACAAAGAAATCAGGCAGAGACCATAAAACTGAGTAGAAAATTCAATCCCCCCCCTTTGCAGTAAATAACAGTACAGCTCAGGTTTACACTGACGCAGCGTGGTAAGTGGGCATCATTTCCAGCAACTAGACCAACAATTAGCCCCAACGTTTCCTGGCAACAATATGGTTTATATGTTTTGAGACGAACAGCCCTGAAACAATTAGTTAATCATCAAAAATTGCGGGAAATCGCCAACAATTATGACTAGTCATTCTGGAAGTTATTTTAAAACAGCTCCATTTTACTGTTTTTTTTTTTTTTTTACATGATTATCATCTGCTATATCTAAACCAGACCTTTTCATCCACAGTTATATTCACTTCTGTAAAATGACAACAACAACAAAAAAGACAGACAGTAAAACGAACATCACGTCTCAGCGTTAGATAAAAACCCCACATTTTATTCATCACCAGTGGACTTGCAGCTTCAATTGGCATAATAAACAGAAGCCTAATGAAAACATCTGCTCCACTTGTAATTGTTGAGGCAACCAGTGCTGAACGCTGCCATTGTAGTGAGAAAGCTGCCATTCACACTTTGCTAAAGATAGAGCGAGTAAAACGAAACATGTGGATCATTTAGTCAGAGCTGACTTTGCTCTCCGTAAGTGTATGCTATGAAAATAATGTTACGGGTAATGTGGGGGTTACCCCCTTTCCCCTTAATAAATAAGAAACACACACACACACACACACACACACACACACACAGCTGGTTAACATCTGTTTGGCTAATCTCTCTGTCAACCAACATTGCTTCCCATTCCATTTCTAAATCGCAGCTAACTTTTCCTAACGTGCTCTAATGCGGTCACTACCATGCCAGACGATTTGTCTATTAGCTAACGAAATGTCAGCAGTCACAGGCAGGGGAGAACAGGTGCACATTATCCACAGCTCCAGCAGGCGAGGCTAAGCTGGTTAGTGCTGCTGGAAGTCAAATATTGCTGGCGTGTTTTAACAGGCGCGGGGGAAACGTCGCTCCGCAGCATTGCACTGATGCAGCAAAGGACGCTAATATGAACTTTAGCTTACTTAGCATCCCAACCTTTCCGATACATCTCCGCAGTGTTCGTTAGCTGCCAAACAGCGATGCAACGAGAGGTAAACAGCCCCTCTGTGGGGGTCTTACCCGCGCAGCTCTGGTGATGTTCAGGTCTTTCATCACTTCTTCAAACGCGGCGGTCTCTTCCGCCTGCTTCTGATTATGCAAAGCGATTTTTTCGCTAAATTTGCGAGGATTGTTAGAGGACGCCATCTTTCCCCTCTTCTTCTCAATGGAATGTTACGCTGCGCACCACTCCGGGCTCTCCCGGTCGTCATCACGCACAGTCAACGTGTCTGTTGATGTTTTTCTTTTTCTTTTTTGCTTCAGTTATTGCCAGAGTTTGCGGCAGGGTGAGTTGCAGATAAAATACACACTGCCACAAGGGAAATCGTGTGCCCCAGATGCATGCTATAAATAGTTAAGTAAATAAATAAGTTCACATAAAAGAGAACAGAATTTTCAAACAGAATAAAAACAGCATGGAATGAAGCATTCATGAATGCAATGGATACAACAGAAAAAAACAGCGCATGAACTATCCAGAATGGAAGTAAAGTCTACATATATCCCATGAAGCTCTAGTTTATGACGAGAAAGTTGGATCATATTGAATTAAACTAGAAGATTTGCAATGGAAGTCTGAATATACTGACTGAAACTTGCATATATGCAATGAAAGTCTGAATGTATTGAATTAAACTTCTCTATGTGAGAGAGATTGTGAGCTGTTGTGTGGTATATTTTAATTGTTTTTTGTAGATTTTCTGGCCATCGTTTTATTGGATCAAGGACAATGGTCTAATTGTTTGAAACTTTTGGTATGACCCTGTCTGGAATGCAACCCTGATACTGGATATTGGACTAAAAGAGTTGAAGAGGCAATTGCAGGCTAGCCAACGAGCTATTAGGCTAACACTGAAGGGTACCATGGGGCCAAGTGGACTCTGACAGCTGTCGAGGACATTAAAAAGTCTCTTGAATTCCTAATGGAGGAAATTTCTACTATCAGGTTGCAGTAGAACAGCATCCTTAACATTGTGGAGGAGGTAAAGCTCCTCTGCATCTAAAACATAGAGTAAGAGAAAAGGATTGCAGACCTGCAATGGTATTCCAGGATAAATGACCGGGGCTTCATATTAAACCCCGCTCATACACTCAGGCAGGGACTGTCAATAGCAGTGAGGAACCAGGGGAGCTGGACGTTAGCTCCATGGTACAACAGGTTGCTGCTTTCCTGCAGTCCAAAGGGATTGATCTGGACTGTGACAACATCGACGCATGCCACCATGTGCCCAGAATAAACACCAGCAACAAACCAGCTATTATCTCAAGTGTAAATCAGAAGCACGAGAATGCACTGCTGGAACAAGGGAGAAAATTAAAAGCATATAAAGTATTTATCAATGAACATCTAACCAAAGAGCCAAGCAAGCACTGTACCTTAAGAAACTGGGAAAAATTCAAAGTACTTGGATGACAAACTGTAAAATCAAACTAAAAGGATCACCGGAGGAAGCTAAACTGCTGGTCATCAAAAATATGGTAGATCTAAAAAAATATACAAAACTAAACAAGGTAACAACTATACACTCACTTATCACACACTGAAGGGAAAGGAAAAGGTATTTTCTATTAATATGTGGAATGAAACCTGAATATATGAATCAATGAGTGATCCACCTGCTCCCCATCTTTGTTTGCTGATCAAGCTTGGGTGCTTTACCAGCCCGAGGTTCTGCCTGCACAGAATCTTAGCTTGCCCTAGGACTGTGCCTCTGGACAGACACTGGAGAGGCATATATAATGCATGAGTGTGTGTTTTCAGTTTGTACTGCAACAGTAGCTTTTCTGGTAAAATTAGTGTAAAAACAAAAAACATTGCACACCCTTGAATATTTAATTATCCTTTCTGGAAAAATGGATCAAATTATTCAATGGAGAGCGTGGAACATTACTGTAGGCCAGTATGAAGGAGGTTACAGCTAACCAACACATTAATTAAAGTCAGAAAACTATTTGCTGTTATGGAACCTTAAATATTAATTTTAAATCATTTTATCAGCCTGGCTTATTATTTGGAAAGCTGCCAATCTTGTTGGCAATAGCACTTCTCAGAAGATCCCTGGGTTTGCAACACCACTAGCATGAGAAATAAAGAAGTAGTGGACTAGTTGGGGGGAAAAAAACAAAACAAACAACAAACAAACTGACTTTTCTTTATGAATTCATTAATACTTTGCACACCCACAACAGAAAAAACTGAATTATATTGGCTGAAACATGAATGTTCCTGTATGTGGGAGTGTACAAAATAATAATAAACAAACAACAACAACAACAACAACAGTTCCTTTTTTAAAGCATGATTCACCTTTAATAAAGAATGCACATAAAGCTACACATGTGTACATTCCCCTTTGACTACAGCAATTTCTTGTATATTGCACTTTAACGATGTAATGTGCTGTTACTGGTACAGGTAGGAACAGGACAAAGACACACTAAGGCAGACAGTTGATAGTTTTAAAACAAAAAATTTAAAAAGAAAAGAAAA